AAAAGCTGCTTGCCAAACGATTGGATCTTTTTCGTTGTATAAAAATCTCGTTAAGATTAGTGCCACGTCAAATTTTAATTTTCCAGCGTATGCCAAATTTAAAGAATCGTGTATTAATTTGGCTCTTGTTGCAGGTGGTATTTGACCGTTGGCGGCAAATTTTTCCAGAAAATACGAAAGCAATTGCCAATTATATGAATCGTAATTAACAATGAATGGCCCTTGAAATAAAAATTTTTTTTAAACATTTAAAATCCGTTAAACTTTTTTCGTCTGCAGATAATTTTTCCGTTGGTTATTTACCAATTTCTTCCGGATTGACGATGACGAAATAATTCGAAGATGGTAAATTATTAACGATAATTTTTTTTTCATCTTTCATCCAGGCAACGGGTTTCATTTGGGAAAAATTCAAATTGTTTTGTCTGACAACGATTAATGGTATCATCCATGTTAGATTTTCATCAACGTTTGTCGTATTTTCATCTGCGTGATCTCGAATGAAAACCGACTGAAAAATTAAATTAAAATTTATTAGAATTTCATCGAATGGGCGCGAATGAAAAATTTAAATGTACCTGAGTTACTTCCGCCGAATTATTTTCGTAATTTCTTATAAAATCAACCAATGGCAACCTTTCTTTATTTATCCAAGAATTTGCAACTTGAGTTATAGTGACGGGGTCTGGTAAAGTTCCATCGACTCCAGCACGTTCGGTTAAAGAATTCCATACGTCATCTTGTGTAAATGTTTTGTGTTTCCTGGAGAAAACATACCTCAAGATCAGCCTTTATATTTCAACAAAAAATTTTTTGTTTTAATTTTACCTTTCTTTGATCAATTGTTGAATGGCTTTTTGAAACGTATTTTCAGATAATGTGTAATTTAACATCCTGAGAATGAGTTCACCTAAAATTTTTTTTTTTTTTAAAATTAATTTTATTTTTTAATAATAAACTCTTTTATTTAAATAAATTAATTATTATTACTTTTCGTAACGGTTTTTGGAGGTTTTTGTGATGGTAATTGTTTATAGGGTTGACTTCGTCCGTATTCGTAGTAAAGAGGATAAGTTTTAGTCCAAAGTCCCGAATTTTGTATCATCGAAGAATCTATCTGTAAAAATTTTTTTTTTTTTGAAATTTATTTTCAGGATACGGGATAAAAAAAAATTGTGAAATAAATAAAAAAATTGTTAGAAATTTACCCTCAATGAAATTATATAAGCGATGAAATTACAAAGAGCTTTATTAAGGTGTACTTCGCTCCACCAATGAGGTGTGATAAGATTTCCCACCCATTGATAAACTAATTCTTTGGCAATGTGTCTAACTAAATGCTCCTCCGTCGTTAAATCACTTTCTCTGTTGGCAAAAGAAAAGTATGTATAAATTGTGGAAGATGTAAATACACGTTTAGAATTATTTTCCAACACTAACTTGAAAAAAATAACTCCCCAAGTTGAATCGGGAATGGCTGTGTATCCCGGAAGAGCAATTAAATCTAATTTGGGTACTGGTAACGGCATATCAAAATACAATTCGAGTTCTTTTAAAATTTTCGGTGCTGATTTTGCTGCATTTTTCAATGCTGGTATGATATCTTCTCGACCCCAAACTCTCACGGCTTTAAATAAAATAAAAAAATTTAAAAAATAATTTTAATTAATAATTAATAAAAAAAAAGAAAAACCTTTATCATATTCTTTTTTATTATCATTGTTTTTGGGAGTTGGAACTTGTTGAAGATCTGATATCATAACAGCTAATGAAAAAGTTGAAATTGGTGGAGTCGTTTGAAAATGATCCCAAACCCATTCATTTTCCGTATTGCTAAAAAAAAAAAGAAAGAATTTTCCCGGTTGGGTAAATTTTTCACAATAAACGGATTTACGTAAGAATGTTTTTTTTAAAAATACCTTTGCTCAGTTTGCAAAACTGGCATATTTGAAATGGCTACCATTTTAGGATTTCTAGCAATTTTAATTTCGAAGGGAACTTTATATGCAGGTTCGTCGAAACATGGAAAAACTCTTCTCGCGTGATTTGGACGAAATTGAGTCGCGACAAATTGCCTGCGACGAAATAAAAATATACTTTTTTAAATATAAATGAATTGATTTCATAGAATGTTTTCTTTTTTTTAAAAAAAAAACATTTATTTCTCACTTTTTTTCTCCCGATTGTTTATGTACGTAACTTTCTTGGAAAAATCCATCTTTGCTATTTGTTAAAAGTGCTCCGGTAAATTTTAAATTCACTTGATAGTTTTGCCCTCGTTTTAAACTTCCCATTACGTGAATTATATACCATTGTTTGTTTAACTGTCTTTCTGTTTTAATTATTTTCAATGAAACCGATTCGTGATTGTTATTGTCAACGGAAATTGTATCCGGCATATCTTTTTGCCTATTGTTCCCCAAAACGATTGAAATTAAAAATGTTTAAAGTGTGTTATCATATGCAATTATTTAATTAACGTTTGTAACTCACGGTTTAATGTCGGCCGCTATGACTCCCGGAAGAGGTTTCGATTTATTTATTTCGGTTGACGATTCTGATTTTTCCGATTCTTCTGATGAATCAGACGAAGATTCGTTTTTCCCTTCTTCTTCTTCTTCTTTGTTTTTTGTTTTTGATTTTTCTGCTTCTTTTTCGTGGCCTATAATAACATTTGAATCAATTAAATAAATTAGGACTCTTATTTAGCTTTTCATCCTGAATATTTAAAACAAGTACCTGAACCCGCAGTGCAAGATGAACCCGAGGTACAAGCATTTTCCGGTATGAAACTAGAAGATACAGGAACTAATCTGGCAGCTCCTACCGGTACCGGTGCCACAGGTACCGGTTGTTCTGTCGTTTTTGCCGTTGTAGTTTCTACAGTTGACACGGTTGATGTACCGGATGTTGTAGTTTCAGGAAGAGTTGTGGTTGTAGGGATGGGTGCATGCTTTTTGACAATTTGACGAGAGGGAAATTGTATCACACTAATATCACCCTCAGATATTTCCAGTTCTTGATGTGCATTTAGTATAATTTTATCGGTATCTTCCAAAACCGTTATATTTATTGTTACATGTCCTTGAAATTCTCCTTCTTCAATAAATGGTTGCAATTCTAAAGCATAACTTACAGGAGTGATATCCCTGGGTAACCGAACGTCCGATACATGTTCTAATGATGATATTAAGTCAATACTTCTTTTAAATCTCTAAAATATCAAATTACAAAAAAAAAAAAAAAAAAAACATTTTAACTTAAATAAATATTTAAAACTTTTTCCATGTTGCAACCCATTAAATTTATCTATTTTCAATCCTTTGAAAAGGGTTGGGTTTTTTTGTAAAAAATTTAAAAAAAAAAGGTTTTTTTTTTTGTAAAATTCATTGAGTTAAAACTTACCGAACCTTCATTTTTCTTAAGAACAAAAGCATGAGATTTAAGATAAAAACAACAGAAAAAAATTACATACAGAAAAATTTTTTTCATTTTCTTCACTGTTCGCACTTAAGTTCAAATATATTAAAAGGTTTTTTAAATTGTCCTTTTTCCACTGTAAGATTTCCATTTCCCGTTAGAAAAGGCACAAATGATTTTCTTGAATTATCAAAATGGTCTATTATTTTAAATTATAATTTTAGTTTTCAGCGTACAACATGACTAAAATTCAAATATTTGTTAACAATATCAGTTTTAGTTAGGTTTACAGTTGTTGAAATTCTTATTAATTCACATCCCTTATTGCCATTTAATTAATTCAATTAATTTTTTTAAAATTATAAAACTTATTTTATGCTTTACAATAATATTTTATTGATGATTCCATACATAATCATAGAATTTTTACAAAATGTCCTAAATGGCCAAGTATAACTACCAGAACAATTAAATCTGATGAATTTTTATAAACTTCCAACAAGGTTTTGATTTTACCATTTGTTTTATAAGAAAACATATTTTAGTCCATTTTATAACTCTCTTCTTTGTAAAATTAAGATTTAATGGCCGGAGGTAAGAGTAGTATTATTATCCAATAAATTCAATTCATTAAACCATGAAAAGAGCAAGGACAAATATTGTTACTGAAATAAAAAATAACAAAAATTTTTACAAAAGGTTTTTTATTATAAATTTAAAAATTTGTATTCTATAATGTCTTACTTTATATTTTACATATAATAAAAAGAAGGTCAATATGTAAATAATTTTAAACTATTCAGCATTTCAAAAAACATATAAAATGTTTTTGTTAAATAATTATTTAATTAAATAATAATACATGATACATACATAAATACAATCCTTGAAATAAATTGATATGAAAATTTAAAATTTTCCTTTTCAGTTTGAAATGAATTAAATTTAATTTAAATTTTGAAATGAATTCAATCAAAGCTGCACAATTCACATCATTAATTTATTAAATATTTTATATAAAAAACAAATGATTATCAATTAAATTTACCTTTTTCAATTTTAAATTAATTAAATATAATAATTAATTAAATTTATTTTCATTAAAATATTAATAATTTTAATTAAATTGTTAAAATAATAATAATTTACCTGTATGTTAAACTTTTTTTGTCGGGGAAAAAAAAACGTTAACGTTTACCGCCAATTTGAATTTTGTCGTCTGCTTTTATTTTCAAATGGAATATTCAAAATGGCGGATAGACTTCGTTATAGGTAACACGCGAATGTGAAATAAAAACAAACGAATTATTTAGTAAGTATTTTATTTTATTTTATTATAAATACACCTTACATTTAAAATTGCTTTTAATAAATATTGTTTTTATTTATTTAAACTAATGTCGCCATTAATTATAAATACTTTTATTTGTAAATAAAAAATACCAATAATATCATTTAACACCGATTATTTATTTTAATATTAGTTTTTTTTTTTTTTTTTTTTTTTTCAGGCTATTTAAAGGCAATATTAAATCTTAATTTAATTTATTTTATTTATAATTGAATTAAGATAATTAGCAATGAACACATCTAAATATTTTTTTTTCCAAGAATAATACTTTAGAGAACAAACATCATTAATATTATTATTATGGATGAATGAATGAATGAATGAATGAATACATAAATGAAACCAAATTTAATTAGGTAAGTACAATTAAAATTTTTTTCCATTTTTTTTTTTGATTATTTTTTGGTATTATATTAATAATAATAACAAAAAAAAAAAAAAAAAAAAAAAAAACATTTATATGAAAGCATACAATAATTTCCATAAGCCTTATCATTATTATGATTATCATTATTAAAAAGCATGTTTTTTACCACAAAATGAATAATGTGTGTGTGTGTGCGCGTGTGAAAATTATTATTATTATTATTATTATTATTATGTGAGGACGGAGATTAATTTAAGAAAAAAAAATCAAATCAAAGCTTTATGGCACTAGAAACGTATAAAATAATTTTATTATTATTAAATTATTCATTCATTAATCTTATTTAATAATAATAATAATATCCCAAGGCTTTAATGTTTTTAAATACTTTTTTTTAATAATAATATTATTATTATTATTATCATTATTAATTATATAATATGGGTTCGATTTAAAGATGAAATTAAAATAAAAAAGACAATAATAATAATAATAAAAATAATGTGAGACAGACATTTTCTTACTAGAAATTCACTTAATCCATATACATACATATATATTAATAAATTTGTACTATTTCCGGTTATTTACACACGTGAAACAAACAAACAAACAAACAAAAAAACCTTTCGACAAAAATAATAATAATAATAAAATCAAATAACAAACTAAAACGAAAAGAAATTTTTAATAATAATAATAATAATAGAGACCGAAATGTTTTTTTTTTTCTATTGAAAATTAATTTCCCTTTAAAAATTTTGATGAGAGAATATATTTTAAAAAAATTATTATTATTATTATTATTATTATTATTATTATTATTATTATTATTATTATTATATTTATTTACATAAAAAAAGAAGAAGAAACCCTCGAACGAATTTATTAATTTACATTAAATATTAATATTTTAAAAACTAACTAACTACACGATTAAAAAAAAAAAGAAATACTATTTATAATAATAATAATAATAATAATAATAATAATAATAAAAATAATAATAATAATAAAATATCACAACAGAAAAGACAAAAAAAAAAAAAATAATAATAATATTTATAACGCGAATCTAACATGACATATTTATTTATTTATATTATGTATATATATTTATCTATGTATATATATTATATATATATATATATAATAATAATAATTAAAGTAAATACAATAAAAAAAAAAAAAAATTTTACTTTGCTCTGTTGTTGCCTCATGTGACAAAAAAAAAGTCTTTTTAAATTAATCAGTCAAATTTTTTTCTTATTTTAAATTTTAATATGGAGTTTTTTAGAATTTAAATTTTTTTATAAACAAAAAAAAAAAAAAAAATTATTTTTAATTTAAGACATATTTGATTTAAAAAAAAAAAAAAAAAGAGGGCGGTAATAAATAAATAAGTAAAACAAACAAACAATTAAAATGAAGGCCTCCGATGAGACTTGATTAAAAAAAAAAAAAAAATTTTTTTTATTCTTGGAATGATTTACGAAGAAGATCTCATAGATCGACATTTTTTTTTTTTTTTACAAAATGATATATCGCACGCACACGCACACGTGCACACGTGCACAGAAAAACAAACAAAAAACGTTTCGAATCGTGTTCATCAATTTTATTTTAGTTGTTGTTGTTGTTGTTGTCGGGAAAATGCTGTTGGCGATTTTTTTTCTTTTTTTTTTTTTTTTTTAATACAAATTAAGATTGTCTTACGTTATTAAATTTTTTTTTTTTTATTTTTATTTTTATTAATAATACTAGATGGTAACTTTATTAAATGTTGGTAAATCTTTACGTCCGGTTGAACTCCTACGATTTGTTCCAGAATCCGATGGTGTCGCGCCAACGTCCGTTAATAAATTAATCAAATTTGTGACGTCGGTTGTGGATTTGCACGAAGCCGTCATCGCATACGACAGACAACTTCTACCCTCGTGATCCAAAGTCCTCGGATTTGCTCCGTACTGGGTAAGTAAAAAAATCAATTTAAATATCGAATCGAAACTTATCGAATACATCGAATATCGAATCGAAACTTATCGAATATCGAAACTTACCCAAATGAGTAATTGAGCAACGGGCAAATTTCCCATTGCAGACGCTAAATGCAATGGCGTTCTTAAATCTTGTCCGCTAACCGTACAATTGACGTCTTCGGGAGTTGAATGAGCTAATATTATTAATAATGCTTTTATGTCCGCTCTGAAACAAACAAAAAAAAAAAAAAAAAGAAAAAAATGCGTTTTGCGTGGATTTGAATTCCCTCCTCCTCCCCTCTCCTTCCCTTCCCCTCCCCCGGCCTTTTGTGAAAAATCATTTAAATACCTGCAAATGGCATCAATGAGTTGTTGATTGATGGGCGTGCTGTAACTTAAACTTTGCAAAAATTCTTTGTTTTCGTATTTTGCTCTTATCCAACGTTCTTTCTCTTCTCTGCTCGAAGAAAAATTTGGCTTCGTTTGTCCTCCCGTATTTCTTTCCCATATCGAATTCGCCATCGCGTTCCCAATCGCTAGCATTAGGCTAAGAGGACCGGGTCTGAAATTTAATAAAAAAAATCCCGTTAAACTAAATAACCAACATGGCTTCGGTTGTTCAGAAAAAACTCTATAAACTTACGGCCATTCGTCGAGATCTAATGATCTCACCCTTGAAATATGGGATCCGAGATTTCTGTGAATGCCCGAGCATTCTATGCACATTAAAACGCCTAAATTAATACTCGCCCAACAGGGTTCTGAAACAACAAAAAAATTTACAGATCGATATCGTTCCCGGCCGTTATTTCGCGATATAATAATGATGATAATAATTACTTGGAGCATCGCAATCGACGCAATATGCATTTCCAGGTACTTTATTTTTAACGGCTATTAAAACAGCCGAATCGACGATTGCGAATCGAGATCGAGACTTGCTTATTTCGTTCCCTTGCAAACTATTCAATATCTGTTGTTCGATGGCGGAAACCCAATCGTCTCTTTCTTCCGAATTACTCGCTTCGAAATGCCACTGCTTGTTATCCAGGCTAACGATAAAAAATTCGTATCCGTCTGGATCTGAAACAACAACATAGCAACGGTTACAACCGGTGAGCAACCGTCTCTCATCCATTTTTTTTTTTTTTTGTGTCACTTACCGTCACATTCGGCATTTTTAACTCCGCTACTTTTTATTCTCCTGTGTCTTTTTTTAACATTTGGAGTTTCTATTCTAAGATCGGCCCCGTTAATGAAAACTGAATTGTTGGAAGGGATTCCATCGTCATTTTGTTGCGGCAAAGACAGAGAACCTAAAAATTTTCAATTCGATTAAAACGAATCCTTCCGATTGGATTCCGGTTAAAATTTAGGAAAACGTACCTGAATCTTTATTGGCATCAAAAGTCGACAATGAAGATTTATCACCGAGTTTTTTATCTTTTCCAACGTAATTACATAAGGAGAGATTCGAAATACCGTCGTTGAGACCGTTGCTCGCTGGAATTATAGATCTCGATCCTCTCGGCTTTTGACCGGGAACTTTTACCGTGACGTATTGCAAAGAAATTTCTTTCCCGTGTATGTTGTCCATGTAATCCTTTTCGTGAAAACCAATCAAAAACGTTAAAATTGTAATAAAGCCAATTTGATTGGCTACCATACACCATTGACGTCATAAATTAACATTCGAAAGGTACCTACCTGCAAGTTAGGATAATAAATGAGTCTCCCGTCATCGCACAGCGTCACATATTTTTTTTTCCATTCCTTGTTCAAAGACTTGCTACTTCTTTTGTACAAGAGTCCTTGCTTCAGAGGTATCGCTCTTCCACTTCCCAACTCGCCGCCATTTTTCAATTTGTCATCTCCCTTTTTCGACGACGTAAAAAGATTCGATCGCCTTCTAGTTTTCCTGCAAAAGAATCGCCAATTATAGGAACCGCAAACTTCTTTTAAGAATAAAAGGCACGTCAGTTATAAATTATGGATGTTATTCGTAATAACGCACCTAGACGTGGTGGGAGTAGAACTAGGAGTGGGCAAATCCTTATCCTTTCCCGACGTCCCCGTATTTTCTACATTTTGACTCTGTCCAAATTTCGTGTTGTTGTTTTCAGTGGTGAACGTGTGAGTTTGCGAAATGCCCAACGTCGCATAACTTCCGGCTCTTTTTTCTTCGTTCCTTAGGGAAACGTCAGCTTTGCTTATTATATCTGGATGCCTGTGAAGTTGATGACTCGATGCGGACAACGCGTGAATTTGTCGACTCATGGATTCCTGAAGGAAAATTTTTATTTTTTTTTTTATTCGGCTGTGTGTAAAAGCAACCGTTGTAACAACCGGGATGAAAAAAAGGAGACAGAGAATATTTTCAAGTACCTTATGGGGTATGTGACAGGGAGAAGCCGATGCGAGAGTGTTATTAGTCGAGGGAGATCCACCGGACGAACTGCTCGTGTTTATGATTCCATTCGTGGGAGACGGTTGAGAATAATGCCGCAATCCGACATTACCAATTGGAATCATCGAACTGAAGTGATTATTCGGCGTTGACGGTCTGGAATTTGTCGGCGTTCCGGGAACTTGCGACGTGATTTGATTATTAAGTCTTTGTTGAACAATTTTTTGACAAGCTGTTATTTAAACACGAGAATTAAAAAGAAAAATTAAATGACGTTAAACAGATGATGTAGTAGTTAGTAGTTTAACTTTATCTTTTATTCTCTTCTTTTCGACAGAAAAAAAAAAAAAAAGAAAAAAATGTCTCACCATCTTGAAAAACTCTTTCGACGTTAAGACCGTAGGTTGCACACGTTTCGTAATAACTGCAACGTTTTAAATCGCTTGCAAGTTTTCTCGCTCTCGAATCATCAATAACTCTCGGATTGTTTTCACTGATTGCATCCTGAGTTCCGACTAGAATGAGTGGAATCTCCGAAGAATTGCGATAATGAGCCATCTTTGTATAATAATTGTAAATTGCATTGAAACTAGCCTCGTTTTCTAAACTGAATACGAATATAACTGCGTCAACCCACGAGGTAAACTAAAATTTCGTGAAATCGAAAAAAAAAAGAAAAACATAATTAGAGACATGTGCAATTTATACAATTTTCATAGAGAGAGAGAGAGAGAGAGAGAGATAATAAACATTTTAAGAACATACTAGAACAAAATTTTTCCTCTTTCAGGAGAAAAAATCACTTACGAGTTTTAATCATTTAATTGTTTTTTTTTTTTTCTTTTTGTGGCAGATAAAATTGATCGTCGTGGTTTAGATCGCATTTATTATTAAACAATATAATCAATGTTATTGTAACTTTCTCTCTCTCTCTCTCTCTTTATCTCTTTCTATATCTATCTTTCTCTGACATGCTGCGCATTTGAGCGATTTCGAATAGGTTTATTGTTTGACATTTTTATTGAAATTAAATTCAATTTTTCCAAGGCATTTTTACTTTTCAACCTTCACGTATAAGAGAGGAAGAAGTGGTGGGGGGGGCGGGGGGCGGGGAGACGGAGGAGAAAAAGTGAACGGTAACAAAATTTTCAAATTTTACCTGCAACTCGGGCGGACCCCCTTCATCTCGAATGAGAAGAAGATAACTTTGTCCATCGACCAAAATTTCTTTTTTGAACCTTCCACCTTCCGGAGATTCTTCTTGCATGTAAGATCCCGTCAAGTACCGATGAACCAACGCCGATTTTCCCGACGATAGAGAACCGACGATTCCCAATCGAAGATCCGGGACGCCTCTCGACAAAGTCCATTCTTGACTATTCACGAATGAATCTATAATTCGAAAAGGAAAACAAAGAATTCAGATCGACTATCCCGAACTACAAAAAAAAAAAAAATTATAACACTGACTAAGAGTCACCAAAATCATTTCCCTTCCCTCCCCCCACAAACTAAAATTGGTAACAATCGAAAGAGAGAGAGAGAGAGACAGAAAACTTAACATTCTAAACGGTGGCCAATCTGTAACTGATAAAAAAAATTTTTTTTTGTGTTTCCTTATTTTGCAAGTCACCAACCAAATACCGGATAATTTCGCAATTGATATCACACATGTTGAAATTTAAATGCACGAATAAGATACGAGCCACCTCCTACAACAACATTCGAACGTTTACAAGAGAGGATAAAGAAATAATAATAATAATAATAATAATAAATGAATAATGCAAAGAAGGAAGGAAGGGGAGGGGGGAGGGGAAAAAAAAACGAATTTTTACTTTTCGATTACAGCCGGTATAGATTTTTCTAGAAAAAAAAAAAAGTTGGCGCCACAGGTAAATGGTAGCAGATAAATTAAGGGTATACGACGACAAAAAAAAAAAAAAAAAAAAAGGCATTCACGAGGTCACGCTGCATTGTATTCCAGAAACTCACTCAATAATAAGAACAGGGAATTTTAAAATCGTGCATGCAGCTGCTGTCTTGGGGAAGAAATTCGAATTCGACCAACTGCCACGATTTCGTGTACAAAACACATTTTCCCAGAAAAAAATTTTTTTTTTTCGAGTCACATTTTACGTTAAAGCCTTAATCTATAACAAAACTTTTCTTTCTTTATCTTTCCTGAAGGAAAATTGATAATTTTCCTTTTTTTATAATTTCAATCTGATTAGGAACAAGCAGGCATGCATGCATGCAGGCAGGCACACACACGTTCTCACCTGACATTTGCTAAAAGCACAAATTGTCATCCTTCGAACTCCATTTTTAAAAAAGGACACTTACTCACGATTTCCCCCCCTCCCCCCTCCTTCCCCTCCCCTTTGATGATGATGATGTTTCATTGAACAAACATATAAATAATTATAAATACAATAAAAACGACTTTTTTTCTTCTTTTTTTTTAATTGAAATCAACAAACAAGTTTTGTCAGATAATTAAAAAAAAAAAAAAAATTTATTTAACCGGAAATGATAAAATTAATAAAAATAATAAAACAAGTGAAGATTATTATTATTATTATTATTATTGCCAAAGAGGTTTTCCGTTACAACAACAAAACCAGAAGAAAAGTTTTCTGTTAAAACCACTTAAATGGATGAATTCGAATAAGTAACGTGTTAGAGAGAAAAAAAATGTGGCGGTTTCTAAATTTTTTTTTTTTTTTTTATTTAATGGCGTCTGTTTATATGTTTTACGTGATACGCTATAATTTTTTTTTTTTTTTTTTCCTCCATTATCGGACGGGAAAATTTCCGTTTATTAATAAATAATTTTTTAATAATAATAAAATTCCGTTTAAATTACTTTTCTCTCTCTCTCTCTCTCTCTCTGTCGTTCTGAACGGTATTTTTATTTTTATTTTTAAAAGCTATAAGCGAATTTAAGGTTTATTAATAAAACGCGTTTTTTTATTTTTTATTTTATTAATCTTATTAATAATATTTATTTTTCTGTATTTAAACCTGACTGGAAAAAATTTCCACATCATTCCAGTCTTTCTTCCTTCCTTCCATCAAAAACTCTGCTCATCGTCATTACAATGCGGAAATCGAGGATTGGAAAAAAATAATAAAAATACGATAATGATAGTAATAATGAGTGTAATCGAATGGGATAAAAAAAAAAAAAAAAATTTTCGCATCTAAATGTTAAGTCAAGGTGATGGATTGAGAGGAACAGAGAGAGAGAGAGAGAGAGAGAGAGAGAGAGAGAAAAGGAAACGACCCGTTTTTCCTCTCCTTTTAGTCAGCTAAAGGTTTAAGGTTCAAGATCATCGGACGATGAATTTCAAACTTTCGAAAAAAACGTTTTACATATACGTTTACGTAACTACCTATCTACGTACCTACCAACCGCTTCTATGTAGAAAAGAAGAACCGTGACATTAGTACCGGACACTCATCGTTTAGGTCAAAAGGTCAACGACGATTTTAAAAACAAACAATTTATGCTTTGCAACACGTATTCCCTCCTTTTTTTTTTTTTTTGTGAATTTTAATACGAATTTTTTTAAAATCGAGAGAGAGAGAGAGAGAGAAACGGAAACATTATTAATAAAATAAATTACTTTGTCTTACTTCCATTTTCATACGATTTAGGAGGTACGACGGACTCGGTCGGTCGGTCGGTCGGGAAAACTCACCAGATTTTCTTTTTTCCGTGCAAACCCAAGATTTAGATCTTGCGACTCTCAACGACCTCCTTTTGAGACTCCTCAAAAACGATTCCGGAGCTTTTTTACCCGATTGTTCGGAATCTTTATTTTTTTTCTTGCTCGATTTTTTACACGATTCCACCACTAAATTTTTATAATTCGTTTTACATTCGTCCGGCGACGACGATTCTTTTTGTCCTCCTCTCCCGTACGATGATAAATGATTGAAACTTTTCGGCGTCGACAAAATCTCTGGAATTTTAAAATTATCCCCTTCTCTGACACAAACGCATTGCGGAATTTTAAAACTCGCGCATTTGTTTTTAACCATAACTTCGTCGCCCAAAACTTTGACGACTTTTGCCTCGTTTTTAATTTCCAAAGATTTGAGTTTCGGCGAATTCGAGGATCCTTTTTTCAATATGTAATTGAATTCTCCCTCGGCCGAAGCGAGACTGCATCCTCGCTCTGGTCCAGGGAGAAGCCACTTCGTGACGATGAACAGTTTGAAGCCGTTTTTTTCCCCCCACCTGCCCCCTTCCGATTTCCGCAAAACGTAACCGCGCAAACCGAATTCATAAATTTAATAATTACATCAATAAAAAATTTCGATCACGGGTACTCGCGTAATGGTTTCGTTTTCCGGTTCCCAAATTAAAACCGACAAATCGAATCAAACACCACAACCTAAAATATTTTCATTCATCCTTTTTTTACGTTCGAATAACCGATTTCGTACCTACTTTTTTTTTTTCTTTTTTTCGTACCGTTAAAACCTGAATTAATATCCACAAATTCAAATTTTAAAACGATAGTGAAAATTAGAAACTCAAATAAATAATGTCTTTTGATTATATCACTTTGAACCGTCTAAAAAAACGAAAGTAAAATAAAAACCTGTTTTTTTTTTTTTTTTTTTTTTTTTTTTTTATTTCTCTCCTCTATGCCTGTGCCTAAATACGATAATAAAAAAAAAAAGATATGAAAAAAATGTTAAGGCGCGCACATACGAACATAAATCGTCGTCGTCGTCGTCGTTGTCGTCTACTTTTGCTCTGGAGCCGAAGGCAAAAATTTTTTTTTTTTTTTTTTCAAATCTTATCCATTAACAAGGCACAAACCTTGTTTTTTTTTTATTATCATTATTTTCACCAAATCTAATTTCACGATGAAAAATAAATAAATAAATAAATAAACAAACGATTAAACGCACCTCACATGTGTGCGTGCGTGTGTGTTCTAGATAATAATAATAATAATAATAATAGTCACAATTTATTACCGTGTTAGGGCAACGTAATTATTCGATAGTGCGTATTCGAAAAATATCTTTTACTTTCGTATAGAAAAATTTTATTATTATTATTATTATTATTAATTTATTTTATTTTATTAATTAATAACGCGCGAAAAGTCGAAAAATAAATAAACATTTTTTAATCACTAAAAAAAAAAAAAAAATAGGAAACTAATTACGCGCGCATAAATTTCAAAAAAATAAAAATAAATAAAACACGAGATCGCGACGTATCAAAGAATTTAAATCAACTGAACTCAACTTGTATATACTCGGTCGTGTACACGATGGTGGTGGTGGTGGTGGTGGTGATGGTGATGGTGGTGGTAGTGGTGGTAGTAGTGGCGGCCGACGACTTATTGCATGATGTAAAAAAAAAACGTTGACTACAACTTTTATTTATTTTAACAAGGGTATAAAAACATTTTATTATAAATATTAATATTATTCGATCGAACGTTAAACACTCAATGTGTCCATTTTTTTTTTTTTTTTTTTTAATGAAAATTAACTCGGGAAAATTTTTAGAAAAAAAAAATGGCGGGAAGGGGGGGTCTCCCAAATGGAAAAAGAAAAAACTTTTTTTTTTTTTTAAATTTAAAACCTTAAAACGATTTATATTATTCATTTCGAAAAATTAAGGTGGTATTCAGTCGGACGGTAGAAGGCCATTATTTTACATGGCCGCCATCAAAAATAAATAAAAATTTATTATTATTATTATTATTATTATTATTATTATCATTCTCCGGAAGATAAATATCAAAAATGTTTTAGAAAACCTACCGCGAGTCGTGTAATGAGTTTTTATATCTTAAACGTTTCTTAAAACGAAAAAATTTTTTTTTATTTTTCGTGTAAAGTTTTTTTTTTTTAATGTAAAATAAAACAATTTTAGTTATTACCCCTTCCCTCCCATCCCCTCCCATCCCTCCCCCGAAATAAATAAATTACAAGAGAGAACAAAACAAAAGATGTCAAAAACTTTTAAACATGTTACCCTTGAGAAAAATAAGGGTGATTTTGAAAATTTTCCCTGGGGTGATTTGTCTGACTCATCATCATCATCATCATCATCCTGATCATCCTGATCATAATCCCATCGCTTTTAAATTATATCAATTATTTGCCAAATGTGAAAAATTAAAAAAACACTTGCTGCTGCAGAATCAGAATCAGAAGCTGAAGCAACAGCAACAGCAGCAGCGACACTTTATCATTCCTAAAGTAATTTTCTAACGAAATTAATAAATAATTTAATCCGTAATAGAAATTCTTTTCTTTCTTTCTTTTTTACTTTCCCATGTACTCGACTATGCAAATCACGATCGTCAACAACCTAAAAGCGAATTTTTTTTTTCCGATTCGAATTCACATATATTTTAAAATAGAAAAGTTTGTTTGTTTGTTTGTTTGTTTGTTTTTTTTTTATTAATTTTTTAATCAATTTAACTGCGTAATAATAGAATAGAACGATCGCCGCGAAATATTTTAATTCGTTTTTTTTTTTTTTTCAGGTCGTTTTCGTTCATCCGTTCGCCTATCTTCGAGAGAGAAAGAGAGAGAGAGAGAGAGAAATGATAATGATAATATTGATAACGTTGAAAAAGGAAAAACGTAAATGATTTTCATGCACACGAAAAAAACGCCCAAGACTTATTATTACGCGACGCCATATGCAAAAAAAAAAAAAATAAAAATAAAAAACGTAAAGTTTACGTTTGATCGAAATCAATCTAAAACTCGTAGAAAACAAAACAAAGACGGAAGATTTCGAAAAAACAAAGAGGGGGGAGGGGGGGGGGAAACAAAGCGAAAAAAAAAAACCATTTCGGACACGGTGAAATTGAATTTTCTTTTCTTTTTTTTTATTATTATCATCCGAAAGAAATAAAAAAAAAAAAAAAGATCAAATTTGAATTTTTTATATATATAACTCCACCATTATGCAAAGTTCAAAAAGCAGAAGACAAAATTTATACAATGATAGAGTTCAAATACAAAAGAAAAATTTACACAAATGGAAAAAAAAACGACGACGGTAAGTCACAGTCAGTCAATCAGTCAATCAATCAATCTCGTTCGAATTAATCAAACATTTTTTTCATTTTTTAATTGTACGACTTAATCCATCATGATTTCTTTTTTTTTTTTTTTTTTTAGTGACCAAAATATCGCAATCGACCATAATCGAGTGATAAAAAACTTATCACGAAAAATCCATACGGTACGCATTTCAAGAGAGAGAAAGAGAGAGAGAGAGAGAGAGAGAAATAATTGAAGAAATGAAAAAAACTACCAGTTTTTTGTGGCAGTGGCACACAATGGTTGGTTGGGTTGGTTGGGCTGGCTGGCTGTCGGTTTCTACGACAGCTCCGACAACCCCGTCTAGCCGGTAAGTCAGACGACACAAGTCGAAATAATAAATTTAAAAGAAAATTCTTTTCATCATCCATCCCCCTTTTGCGCAAACCCCTTAATAAAAAAAAAAAAAAAAAACAATTCGCCTCTTTGATTTATTCCCTTTTGACGCTCAATGTGATAACATTTTCTTTTCTAAAGGAAGGGTGGCGGTGAATATTTTAATTTTCAAGTAAGTTCGTGGTAAGGTAGAAGAAAAAAAAAGGAAGGAAGGAAGTTTTAAAAAAAAAAAAAAAAAAAAAAGGTATGTGCGAGACGGGAATTCAAAAAAAGGAGTCGGAGCCTTTTCGATTCGTGTTTCGTAAATCTTTTAAACTTACGACGATGACAAAAAATTTCACCCCAAACCGGATTTTTTTTTCATTTGCGCAAGGGATGAATTTCAAGGACGGGGATGACTGTTTTTGCGCGCATGCGTCTGTCTCTATCATTCGCGATCGGTTCTTTTGAAAAATTTTCTTTAATTATTATTTTTATATGAATTATGGATGACCGATGTCTGTATGATAATAACGACAAGCTACCAATGATGATGATGATGATGATGATGACTCATAAAACGCAATCTAATACGATTTTTTTTTTTTTTTTCTATTTTGTTTCCACACGGAGGGAGATTTTAAGTAAGATTTCAAAAGGGAAAAAAAAACACACACACACACACGTCACATTTTAATAAGTTCAGTTCAGCCCCCTTAATTTTTTTTTAAACAACCCAATCCATCGAAGGTTTGTAGAGTTTGTTACTTTTTTAGTTATTAAACGTTACGTAAAAAAAAAAAAAAAAAAAAATCAATACCACCGATACCAGCCATCACTATCGATCCATCCCCTAGTTACCGTTATTTAAATAAGTTTGTAAGGAAAAAAAAAATTCAATTCCGTTACTATTTGGCCAATGTCATTTTTGTCAATCAATCAATCAATCAATCCATTCGCTATCTTGATTTTCGTTTTTAACAATTTTTTAAATTTGTTACCGTAAGATGAGAAAATTAATATAACGAACCCATAATGGAAAAAATAAGAACAAAATATTGATTTAACGTTTCCCTAATCTTTCCTTTCTTTCCCCCTCCCCCTCCCCTCCTTTTACACTTTAACTAAACGAAAATATAATAATAATAATAATTTTATAATTTGATTTCAAACAAAAAGTAGCAATATTAATAATAAAAAAAAAAAACTAATAACATCAATTTTTGACCCTTTCTCGCATTTTTTTTTTTTTTTTTTTTTTTTCGTAAAATTCAAATAATAATGAAAAATTATCTAATCTATCTTTTCACCCCTTTTCTTTTTCTAAAGGGGGGTTTTTTTTTACGTACGATTATTTTACAACCCTAAAAAAAAATTAATCGAATAAATCATTCGGTAGATTTTATAGATTGCCAGATTTTCCAATTTTCCAGATTTTTTTTTTTTTTTTTTTTTGAATTTCCGCGTGTGAAAATTGTGTGAATTATCAATATAAACATCCCACGGACAATTTCCTTTTTGTCTTAATTGTAAAAAAACCTTTTCGCGGCTCCCCAATTTCTTTCGAATTCGAATTATTTTCTAAACTAATTATATCATTTGTTTCTCTCTAATACGAATATGTTAAAAAAAAAAAAAAAAAGTAATCATTTTCAGGGCGAGGAAGAAGATTTTAAAAGAAAATGACCTTTTTTTTTTTAATGACGACCCGAGGGATTTTTTTTTTTTTTTTTTTTTTTGTAATTTGCAATTTCTTTTACGTTTTAAAATATTTATAAAAACACAAAAAAAAAGCCGAATTTCGAGTTTAAATTATTTCGAAATCCCCCCCCCCCAATTTTTTTTTCTTGTTTTTTATGACTATATTTGAAGATTGAAAGCGTATGTATGCATATGCTAATGAATGAATTTAAATTACAAATTTAATTTAATCAATCAAACAAAGTTTTTGAAGAACATTTTTGAGAGAAGGCGGTGAAGGTACATTCTATAAAGTTCGCAGGGACAAACAGGAAAAGAAAAAATTACGTTTCCTAAATAAAAACCCCGGATGACCGAACGGTGCCTTAACCTTTAACCTTTTACTCAACCTTCCTTCCTCTATTATTATCCGAAATTACAAATTTTACGACGAGAAAACAAAAAAAAAAAAAAAAAGAAAGTTGTCGCTTGAAAGTAGTAACAACTTTTAAACTACATTTTTCTTCAACTATTGCTAGCAGATTCGAATTTTTAACATTAAAAACAACGACATTTTTTTGTATTTTTAATTTTAAACATTTTTCCGTACTACAAAAAAAAAAAAAAAAGAATTTCGACGCCTCAACACAACATGGGATAATAATTAATAATATCAAAAAATTTTTTTTATTAATTAAATTAATTAACATGCGAAGTGTTTACATCTTGGAAAACAGATGAAAAAATCAACGAAACGAAAGAAGACGGTTGTGCACGTCAAAACGTAATGAAATCGGTCGGTCAATTAACAACGCGGTTTTTTTTTTTTGGTTTTCATCAATTATTTTTTTCCAACGGAAATTAATATAAAAGAAAAAATTTATATCGATTAGGGCTCGATCTAGTGAAAATTTTTAAAACTATTTTAGTTACATATTTCGACACGGTAGCGCTGATAATCGTATGGCTTTAGGGAGTAAAAAATTTTTATTTAACCTCGTTCCTCGGGGGGGTAAGTAAAATTGAAAATTTATCACTTCCAAAATATCACCCGTTATATTTCCCTACCCCACCCCCCCCCCAAATACAACAACAACAACATTATTATAAAAAAAAAATATATTTATTTTTCGAGAAGGTAATATCCAATATTTGCAAACCGTTTATAACCGGAAAATTAACTAACTAGAAAAATAAACATGCATTACATAAAGATTAAAAGAAGCTTTTACAATTACGGCAAAAATAATTAAATTTCGATTATAATGATATTATTATTATTATTATGAAAACAACTTTGCTTGAACGAAACTAATGAATCGGACTAATAAAAAAAAATATTAAAAAATTAAAAAAAATGCGAGAAAAGATAGAAATAAATAAATAAAGAAAAAGAGATCGTTATTCTTCGTTCGTTATAATGTAATTTAATTTACAGTTAAAAAAAAAAATGATGCCGCCTTTTTTTTTTTTTTAAAATATTTAAATCTAAGCATTCATATTAAAGTCAAAGTCGTTTTTTAGTTAAAAAAATATAAAAAAAACAAATATCAAGTTAATAAATAATAATAATAATAATAGAAATATCAAGTTAATAAAAAAAAAAAAAAACAAAAAAAAGATGAAAGCGAAAATAGATTATTTTTCATGCATATATATTTATATATTTTTTCGTTCAAATTTTTTAAACAAAAAAACTATACGATATTATAACAATAATAATGACAGTTTAATATCCGTCGTAAACAATAAAATTTACAATGTTTTTAGCTATGCAAACTAATTTGTATTGCGTTCTATCTAACTGACACACCGTGTCATCATCATCATCATCATCATCCCACACTTTTTTTATATTTAATTTATTTAGAATAACGTCACGTTATTATTTTTTTTTTTTTTTTTTTTTTACGTATTTCGCACACTAACGGAAACATTTTTTTTTTTTTTGTTTTTATATATTATTTTGGACAATTCGATAACCACTCCTATTGGAAAAAAAATAAACGCGGATGTACGAACGTTTTTTTTTTTTTTTTTTTTTTGCTATTATTTGGTTGCCAACAATTTACGTATGTACGTATCATTAAACAGTGGGTCGGACGACGATACCCCGGATGGTATAATTAGTAAGCGGAAAAAAACATTTTCGAAAAAAAAAAGGAAAAAAAAAAAGAAAAAAAAGTTGAAATATTTGCAAAAACAAATCACGATACAATTAACACGTTGCTCTTTTTCTTGTTTTGTTTTGTTTTTTTTTTCCCTGTAAATTGTTTATTAAAGTAAATGTCAAATGAGTCGGTTTTAAAACACAAAATAATCAATTTTTTTTTTTTTTTTACGTATGTTTCGTGAATGAAATCGTAAATCCATTGGAAAAAAAAATCATTATTATTATTATTTTTTTTACAATCGAACACTATACAGGAAATAATAACAAAAATGGTAACCTATAAAAAAACTATTTAAAATTCATTGCGCAAAAAAAAAAAAAAAGATTGATTATTCGACTCGGTCACCTCCCTAAATTTAAATAATAATAATAATAATAATAATAAAGAGACCACATGAAATGATTTAAGTATGACTAAAATTTTAAAATAAATATATTAAATTAAAATTATTTTTTTTTAACACACACCACAAAATCTTTTATAGATTTTAAAGTCGTCATGACAAATGAAGTGTTACATAAGACCTTTAAACAATTTAACAAGTTTTTCCTCCTTCCCCCCACCTCCTCCTCCCTCCCCCCATTTCGAATGTAATATTTGCGTTGATTATAGTATCAAGAGGAAATAAAAAAAAAAAAAATTTCACGGATAGATAGATAATTTCTTTATTAACATAAAAAAAAAAAAAAATAAAAAATAAAAAGGTAAAAAGTCATTGAGAAAATTATTGGTTTCATCACGTTCAGCAATGATATTTAAAAAAAAAAAATTTACCACCGAAATAATATAAACCATATTTTAAGCCCGAAAAGAATTGCTTAACCTTTGACATTTGATCGAAATTCATTTTTTTTTTTTTTTTTTTTTTTTTTCATCTTATTTTAGGGAAATAAACAGAATTTTTACATTTTTCAAGAAACGATTAATTTTTTTTTTTTTCAAATTGAAAGAGCCATCTCACGTTTTATTAAAAAACATAAAGGCCGTGGAAATGACATGGGGTCAAAGGTAAGTAACCTTAATTTTAAGAATACAAAACACATGCTACAAAAAAAAAAAAAAAAGAAAGGAAAACATGGATTTTAATTCCAATCATCTCCTAAAAGATTTTCATAAACTTTAACCGATTACGATGAGGAAAGGTGATAGATAATCAAAAAATATATAAGAGGTTCGAATGAAATTTTTTGCGAATGCGCAACTGTTTTAGTAATTGTTTTAAAATTAAATGTATCATAAACCCTAAAAAAAAAAAAAAAAAAACTTCTTCGTATAGTTTTATTACAAAATTTCACCTACGTAAAATTAATCCTACGTAAATCTGATTCATTAAACAAATACATCGAGAGAATTAAAAAAATATGACAAGCACATGACAATTTCGGCAAGGTCTTATTATTGCCTAATAAAATTAAAATCAAATTATCATCAACGAGTCGTGGGATTCTCTCTCATAATAAACCAATCGAATCAAAAATAAAACAAATACTCCTAAAATAAAAACTTTATTCGTCTGTCGTCTATCTATTTTAAAAACGAAATTTTATTTTTAATTTTTTCAATCACTTAACTGCAAATTTTTTATTTATTTTTAATTATTATTACACCATAAAACTTATTGTAAAAAAAATTACTCGTGACATAATGTGACCACAACAAATTATTAACTTATGTTTTAATGAATAAATAAACAAAACGATTAAATCATTTTAACTATGAAATTATTTAACGAATAGAAACTTTACATGTGAATTTTTTTCGATTTGTGATCTGCCTTGATTTACGATATGCACAATCCTTTCTTCAATAAATACTCTCTTTCATTTTTTTTATTATAAAAAACCTCTTTAAAGTATTTTTTTTTTTTACAACTTTTAAGTTAATATTAGCCTGAAATTAATTTGCCAACATCAATAGTGTAAAGGTAATCGAGAATGAAATTTTGAAAATATAGAATTCGAATAAGAATATGATTTTCACTCGAATTAATTTAAAATTATATATATAAATTGTTTGGAAAGCAAATCACTATATAAAAATTTCCCAGATAAGTTTTACAGAGTTTTTTATTTAGTTTTTAAGTTATGTAAACAACATGTGATTAAATTTCAAGACAAAGTCAAATTAATGCGAATAGCAAAGAAGAAAAAAAAAAAGAGAATAATTTATAAATATTTAAATATTTAAATAACCGTGTTTGGTTAAAAATTTTAACAATAAACATTGCGACAAACCATATTACTTTTCATTTTATTTTTGTTTTAATAATTAAAGAATAGTAAATTTTAAACAAAACGAGTAAGTGCTTAAGTATACAGATTACATAAAATATGAACAGACTAATATCAATGTGTTAACCCTTCTTTTTTGTTTCGACAAAATTATGTTTTTAAAAGAAAAAAATGTTTATTATCACTTACCTTCTATGCAAACAACATGATCTCGAATTTGCTGTCCCACAGCAGCATCCTGAATTAACTCTATAAGATCATAAATAGCATAAATACTTGGATGAACGCTTTCAAAACGTTGAATTTCTTGTCTAATTGCTAATGAATTATTTAAAAATGGTTGATAATGTCTTCCACTCATTGCAAAAATTTATCCCATGAGAATGAATTCACTTTTAAAATATACTGCACACAATTATTTACAAATAAAAGCTTTGAATGAAGTAATAGGCAAGATTGATTATCACTATAGGGTATTATTATTATCATTCTATTAAAAACTCAATACTTTGGGTTGAAAATATTAACTGTGTATTTATTATTAAAAAAACCGTTTTTAAATATAAGGTAATAAATAAATTGGCTAAAAAAAATTTACGAAAAATAAAAATCATGTATGAAATATACAACTTTTTATTTATGTACATTTATGAAAGTTTCAAATGTAAACCACGCAAACGGCCGTACGGAAAAATGCAACATGGCTGACAGAAATATACAGCGTTCAAAATTATTTTAAATAATAACCGTACGCGATGAATATTTTTTTAAAAAAAAAAAACGCTTATAGAACAAAACGACAGTTAGTGTAAATAAAATAATAATTCTTGAAAAATTTTAACTTTTCTTTTTATTAAACACAACGTTCGAATGTAACAAAAACAACAATTCCCCATTATTTGACATTGAGCACACCTCGCAGATGAATGGAGTTCATTCGATACGATATATCGAATGGCTTAACGTTCTTTACATGATGTGACATCTTTAACCGTTACAAAAAGTTTGAATTTAGAGAAGAGACGCCATAGTTAAATTCAAGTTAAAATTATTTTATTTTTCTATCATATTTATAAATAACAATTACGGGAGACTTTGAAAATAATATATAAAATGTGTCATTTAGTATTTTAAATAATTTATTTATAATGGTAATGTTAAAAAAGCAAAATTAAAGAAATTTTTGTAATTGAAAATTATACAGGTAGTCAAAATTTGATTAAAACAATTATTATTAGTATTAATTTTACATAATTTTATTAAATTTCAGAAATCTAAACGTATCAATTTAACTTTTTTGAACTTCTCAGAATAAATTTAAAATAGTTTTACTTATAAATGACAAAAAAAAAAAAACTAAAATCTATTTAGAGGGTAATATATTTTTATATTATTCACTTTCTGACTTTTTACAATTATTAGATTAGTTATTTGATTGCTTTATATTTCAGATTAATGTTATTTTAGGTAAAAAGTTAATGGAAATTTTAAAGTTTTAATTAATAGGCATAATTTTTACAAATTTAAAACTTACCTGCCCCACCAAAAGTATCAAACAACAATTAAAGCAGTAAGTTATTATTAAAATTATTAAGTAAAATTTAAGTAATAAAAAAATAACTTTTACAATTACTGATAAAAACAAGTTTTATTTGAAAAAAAGTAATTTAAAATAATAATTTTTATGCAAACTAACTCTTAAAAACAATTTTTTAATTTTATTACAAACGCCTGGTTAATGGAGGAAAGCTTTTTCATTAGCACAGGAGTAAAATGTATAAAATATTAAATTTTTATATCAAAATCCATTAAAATTGTATTTTTGTTAAATCAAAAAGTTAAATAATAAATTAAAATAACCAAATAAGTACTTTCGGTATTATTAAAATTGTTTTTTTTTTTGCAAATTTAGAAAATTTGATAAATTCATATACCTATTCATTGTTATCAATTTTAATAATGTCCAGGTTAGGTTAGAAAGTTTAAGTTTAAAAGAAAGATTTAGTTTAAGTTTGGTTTAAAAGAAAAATTAATTATAATTATTTAGGTAATTTGTTTAAATTAATTTATCAGGGGTATTGATATAAAATTATGTATTGTATTAAATAAATTAATTGAAAATAATAAAATATTTTTAAATGAAAGAAAAAATTTATGGTCAATTATAATAGGGTAAAGGATAAAAATTGTTGTTTTAAATGAATAAAAAAGTTCTGAATTAAAAGTAAAAATTATTTAAAAAAAAAAAAAAAATTTATTTTTATATTTCAATATACAGCTTTTGATTGAAATTGAAATTGTGACGGATTTACATAAAATAAAAAAAAATACACTTGTTGATATTTAATAATTTTCCAACTTTCAAAAAAATTTTAAAAAAAAACTCGTTAAAATATAAATATTTAAAACATGAAAATGAAAAAAAAAAAAAAGTAAACAAGGGAAGATCAAATTTTTTTTCAAAATAAAAAAAAAAAAAATTTCATTTTTCGTTGTTGTAAATATAGTTTTAAGTGATTTTAATTTCCGTAAAATAAAATATTTTTTAATTATTTAATTATTAATACATAATTATGTTTGTTACTTGAAATTTCAACCATCGGTTTTTTTTTTTTTTTTTTCATTTTATTTTCTTTTCAAGAGCTGTTTAAAAAAAAAAAAAAATAAATAAATTCAATGTTTTTTTGAAAACTAATTTTTTTCGGGTAAGTTTCTATATATCAATTTATTAAATTACTCTTTTGCACGTATTGTATCGCACGTGCATATTAATATAACACCTGTTGATATTCAAAATTAATAAAACCAAAAATAATATTACAATATTACATAAAACAATTACTAACACACTATTTGATATTGTTATGAAACTGTCAAATTTTCATTTAATTTAGTTTTTAAAAATTTTCATTACACTTTCACTGATACTTACAACTAATTTTCTTTATAAATATTATTTTTCAAGATGTAAAATTATTTATAGTAATTATTTATATGTTTGTTCTAAAAATTAGATGTTTAGAATTATAAAAAACATATTTGATAATTTTTTTTTATTATTATAAGTGCTAAATTTTTGTTTAATAGCCATTGTAAAAATTATTTAAAATTTATGACTGCTTTTTTTATAAAATTTTTTTATTATATAATATATAAAAAAAATTCTTTTCTCTTTAAAAACTATTATTATTGTGCTTTTAAAATCATTCAAAAAAAAAAAAAAAAAAAAAAAAAATGGAGTAAACTTCAAATTTAAGTCAAATTATTTTTATATTTGTTTATATTTAATAATAAAAATTCATTATCACCTGTTATTATTATTAAATATTCCTAACATTCCGTTATATTTAAATATTTGTTTTATTTATAAAATATTGTGAGGAAATAAAAAAAAAAAAAAATTTTTTGTTTGTTTTTATGATTAAAAAATGTTATTTAATAGAAAAAAAAGGTTTGGATAATTTTTTTTTTATTTTAAATTTAATAGAAAAATATATATTTATCATCATTTTTTTCTGCATTCATTATTGTATACATATATGTAATTATTTAAAAAAAATTTTTTTTTACTTATGGGCTCAATTAAAAAAAAAATTATTTATTAAAATCATTCTTCATTCCTTAAAATGGTGACATTTTTCTGGGGGTTTATGGGAACCCCCTTTGTGTAATTGATAATATTAAACAATTAAAATAAATAAAAATTATGTATTTTATGGCAAAAAAAAAAAAAAATTCAATAATAAATGTCAGAATAAATGACTTGAAAACTAAAGAAATAAATGCATTATTAATTTTTCTCAGTGATTGATTAAAAAAAAAAAAATGCAGAAAAAAATTTTTTTTGTTATAAAAAACAATAAAATTTTTTTTTTTTTTGGGGGGGGGGAGCGAAATTATTATATTTAATTTAATTTGTAATTAATTTAACACGTGTATAAATTTTCACAAATTATTTTTCCAGATGAATGAATCATAATGATTTTTTCAAAGCAAGTATATTTATGGTTTTTATTTACAATCCACATAATCGTCGGAAATGACATAAATAAAACTTTTGAACAAGAAATTAATGCAAAACGTTTCTTAAACGACGTTAATAATAATTCTATAGAAATTGTATCGAAATTGGTAAGAAATGAATGGAATTCAAAAATGAATGCCACTTTGGATACAAATAATATTTTTGTAAGTTTATTTATTTATTTTTTCTCATATTATTATAAATAATAATAATAATAATAATAATTTATTGTAATCTCGTAAATTTCCAGATTAGTTCAGATTATTTAACAAATAGAAAATATATTTATGAACAAGTTAAGTTATATTATCCTTGGAAAAATTTCACAGATCCAGATGTGCGACGAAAATTGAAATTATTTTCCGAAATCGGTATTCTCGCATTATCCGACGAAGATTATGAACGTGTAAGTTTTGTTTAAAAAAAAAAAAAAATAAAATAAAATTTTAATTTTAATTTAATAACAAGATATCCTTTTTTCAAATTTTAATTTTTATTTATTAGTATCAAAAAATAATATCAGAAGTTAGAAAAATAGAACAAACTACAGTTATTTGTAACTTTAGAAATAAGTCAAAATGCGATCTTCACTTACAGCCAGGTAATTGTTTTTTTTTTTTTTTTTTGTTATATTATTATAATAATAATAATAATAATCTAACGAATAAAATTGATTGATTTCAGATATTGAAGAAAAATTAAAAACAAGTCAAAACTCTGATGAACTACTGTATTTACATAAAAAATGGCACGAATCTACAGATGATAAAATAATTCAACTTTTTAAAAATTACATTTTACTCAGTAATCGAGCTGCAAACCTTAACAGTAAGTTAATTTTATTATTATTATTATTATTTATTTTTTTTTTAATATTAGGTTGTACCTTGAAATTTCTTTTTTGATGCGAAACTTATGGGACAACTTAATATTATTATTATTATTATTATTTATATTCATTTTTATTTACATTCACATTAAATGATAAATTACAGATTATACAGATTTCAAAAAATATTCTTTAAGAAATTTCATTGAAATGGGCGATGTTAAAAATGAACTTATTTCATTATGGGACAAAATTAAACCTCTTTACGAACAACTACACGCTTACGTCAGAAGAAAATTGTTGAAAATTTATGGAGATAAAATTATGTCTTCGACAGGTCCCATTCCAGCATACCTACTCGGTAAAATGAAAGTTTTTAAAAATAAAATTGATTTTTTTTTTTTTTTTTTTACGAAAAGAAAATAAGAAAATGTTGTAAATTTTCAGGGGATATAAGGCTGGAAAATTGGTCAGGTTTGTCAAAGAAAATTGTTCCTTTTCCGGAAGTTGATAATTTAAATATAACAAAATATATGATCGAAAAGGTGATAATTAATACTTTTTAATAATTTAAATTATTTTACCGATAATTATTTAATTAATAAAATTCAAACATTTTTTATAAAAACTATTTACGATTAGATAATAATAAAAAAATTTCCCGCGAGTTGATAAAATGGGAATTTTCCTGATTTTTTTTTTTTTAACTAACGATCATATCGAAATAATATTCCGATTTAAAACAAAATAATTTTTATTTAATTTACGTGATATTTTAATTTAAAAAAAAAAAAAAAAAAATTAATAATTATAATTACGTAATTGTCAAAATAATCATTTTTAAAAGGTTTCCCGAAAATCAAGTTAATAAAAATTTTCTTTTGTTTTTCAGAAATACACTCCCGATACGATACATAATTTGGCTCAAGAATATTTTGAATCAATGAATATAAGTGTTAATTATAATTTTTGGATAAATAATTCAATGGAACAGAAAGAAATTAATCAATGTCCGACAAACATATTTAATTTTTACGATGGAAACGTGAGGTATTTTTTTTTTTTTTTAACTCCCGAGCATAATTCAAAAATTAAAATTTGTCTCATGTGTTTGAATTTAAATTACCCTTCAAATTTATTTTAGAATAATGGATTGCAATGGCGTTTCTTTAAATAATTTTTTATTGGCTCACAATTTGGTAACCAAAGCTCACTACATGGTAGAATATAGCAAACAACCCTACGTGTATCAAATGCCTGCCGATCCAGGTTCGTTTTAATTTTGTGATTTTTTTAAATTTTTTTTTTTTTTTTTTTTTATTACCACACATTTTAAGTATACGATACGAGAATTTCAAATTAATTAATTGCTTTCAATGCATTTCAATAAATTTTTTATAATTTTTAGCATTAGAAATGGCTATAAATGATATAATTGCAATGTCAGCATCAACATTATCTAACTTGAAAAGAATAGGCCTTTTCGAAAAGGATATAATTAATAAAAAAATCCGAATAAACAAATTATTCAAATTGGCCCTTGAAAAAGTAGTCAACTTGCCGTTTTTTTTAGTACAAGAATTATGGAGGTGGAAATTATTTGAAGGAATGACTATCGAAAAATCTTTTGCATATTTACGAAATTTGAGGTATGTTGGTCATTGTTGCTTAAAAAATCCCTTTTTGAATAATTTGGAAAACTCACGTGGACATTAGGACATAAAATATTTTTTTTTTTTTTTTCAGGGAAACGTTTCAAGGAATAGTATTTCCCTTTGAGCTTGGTAGCGGTCCCCTGGGAAGAAAAGCTTTTTCAGACCTATCATTAGTTCATAATTTTTTGGGATATTTTTTAGAATTTCAAATATACGATAATCTATGCAAAGATGAAATAAATTTAGACGAATGTAATTTGGCTGATAATAAAGATGCTGGTATGATTTTAAGGTATATTATTTTACGATGAACCATTTTAAAAAAAATTTTTTTTAAATTTTGTTTGAATCAGTATTTGTATTCACCTATAAAAAAAAAAAAGTAATTAAGTATCATAAAAATATGAAAAAAAAAAAAAAAAAACTTTACAAATAATTTTTAAGGAAGTTAATGAGCTCTGGTTCTTCAAAGAGTTTGAAAGAAACTTTGGCCGGTAGTCTGAATGAGAGCAAAATAAAAGCGCGATCTATAATTAAATTCTTTAAGCCGTTAATGAATTGGTTAAAACAACAAAATAATATTAACGAAGAGTACATAGGATGGAAAAATAAATTAAAGACGAATAATAGATCGAAAAGGAGAAAAAGATCGGCCGTAGATTATTTTTCGGAATTGGATGATGAGGATGGTTAGTTATTTTTTTATCTATGAATGACATTTTATATTTTTTTTTATTTTTCTGCAGTGGTTTTTTTTGATATCTACAGATACATTTAATGCTGCATCTAAAGTATTAAATAAATTTCAACGCAGCGTACCTTTAAATAATGAAAAAGAATTACTTAAGTTAAGTACACGAAAGAGAAAAAATGTTAGGAATGGTGACGTAGGAGAGGTAAAAAATAAAAATAGTATTGTCATTGATGAAAAAATTAAAAGAGAAATTGATAAAACGATTTCAAACACTCAAAACAGTATTAATGTCAAGGACAGTGAAAGACAAGGGAAATCAATGGAAAATAATGAAAATGAAATTGAAAATGATGGAAAATCATTTGCATATTCTAAATTAAATTTTAAAAGGCAGACAAAAGGGAAAAAAAATTTAATTAATTTGGAATTGAATTATCAGAGTAATGATAATAATGAAAATAATAAGAAAGACGGTTACAAAAAAAAACGAGACAATTATGATATGAAAATTAATTTAAATGATGATAATAACGATGATAATGATAACGACGATACAGCGTTAAACGCGAATCGCGATAAAAATACAGCTGAGAAAAAAGGGCAAAAAAAACGAAGGCATTATTTAATGGAAACCGTACCTGCTGTTAATAATAATTGGAGAAATCCATACGAAAGTAATTATGAAAGCAATACAAAATTTGGATTATGTAGTAATAGTAGACATATTAATTCCAAGAAAGATATATCAAGACTTTTGCACTCATTCGGATTCACGATTGAAACCGAAGAAAAAGACAAAGTGAAAGATATGAAAAAAAAATTAAAAGGTAATTAAAAGGACAAAAAAAAAAAAAAAAATTGAATTATAAAGTACAGTGAAAAGCTTAATTTTAATTATAAAAATTAAGCTTAAGGATATAAAGATGACTTTAAAAAATGATGGCAAAGGAAAAATCATTCCGACTTGTTAATATACGAAGAAAATTATTTTTTTTTTATTTTCTATTTCGCAGCTTTATATTTTCATTATTATTATTATTATTAATTTTACTTTTTTTTTTTTAAATTATTTAAAAACAATTATTTATTTTTGTAAGTAAATATAAATAAAAAAAAATTTTTTTTTTTTCTTTTCAGGGGATTCAAATCCAGCTCTTAAAAATGAAATAGTTTCAAAGGAAAGCGGTGTGGATAATATTCTGGATTACAGCAAAGTAAAATCTGGAGATTCGAGGAATCCGGAAATTGAAGAAAAAGGTGGAAATAAATTATGGGCAATAAAATCGTATTTAACGGAAAATGCGAAAAATTTGCAAGGAAGTAACTCGTTAAGCAGAGCTTTAAATAAAAAAGATTCTTTAGCTTCTTCGCAAATGACAAGCGCTTTGTCCAAAGATGAAAAAAATATCGATAAAAAAGAAATTATTCCTCATTCCGGGACATCCGAATCAAAATTAAACAAAGATGGAGTCGGTGATAATTCGGAAAGGCAGGTGACACGTGGAGACTCCAATATCAGAACCTTAAACCTCGATGGTCATTCCCTCCAATTACTTTTGAAAAATTCAAATCTCAATTCGCTCGGATCAAAATCGATCATAGCCCTCACTCCTGAAATCTCAGAGAAAACAAAAAATGATAATCAAATGATTAGTTCTCAAAAACAAAGTCCAAGTAAATTGGGTAATTCATACCTGTATAAATATTCTTCTCTCGGTGATACAGTTCAATTTAAGGATAAAAATAATAAAGAGGAAAATTCTGATGTTTCTTCAAAGTCACCCTACGTCATTATTCTTGGACAAATTTCACCCGACATGAAAGATACCCTAATGAAATACAAAGGAAGTTTATTAATGGATTTAATTAAACAATCTCAATTACAAGGTACCGGAACGGAGAATCAGGATAAATTATCGGAAAAAAAAAACAGAGGTTTAAATCAAATTTTTATTGTGCCAATAGATGTAAAAGGTAATCAACAAAACCTTATGAAAGGTTACCATTTTACCGAACAAGAACACGAAGGTGGCCACGGTTCGAACATTGAGAGAGATCAGGAAACCGAAGAAGAACAACAATCACGTTTAGCAGACAAGAGTAATTTGTATAAAAACAACAAAGATAATCCTTCGGAATTTATTATATCTTGGAATGATAAAAATAGAAAAATAGTCAAAAGAAGTAAAAGAGATCGTGACAAGGAAGTTATGGAAAATCAAAAAGTCAAAGTCGTCAGATTAGCTCCATTGAAAGAATCCGTTTTAGACAGTTTGTTTAGTAAATCTAATGAAGGTAAATATAATTTTATAAAATGTCTCGTTAATTTTTATAGTAGAAACAAATTTCCCCTCTTTTATAGATTCCCGTTCTGGATCATTGAGATCACTCTCGTCATCAGACCATAATCCGTCGCATAATAACGCTATACAATCTTCTGCTTTGTCATCTTTAGCTTCCAGTGTTTTGTCTGCTCTTTCTCCTAAAACATTATCACAGGTCATTATTATTATTATTATTATTTTTATTTTTCCAAAATCATAAATTTTTGTGACGATGAGCAAATTATATATCACAAAAAATATTAAATTTATCGTTTAAACTTTTAGTCTGCAAAAACGGTTGATTCTCATTCAGACGCAAATATTGATGAAAGTAATATTAAAGGGGATTCAAATCCACAAGTCAGTGGAAAAGACGTTAAAGATCAAGAATTACCATTTTTAAGCAATGCTAATTTACGGTGTAATCCTTTGATCGGATCAAAAAAGAAAGGAGCCATTTTATATTCCGATGAAGACAAAAAAAATGATAACGATAATGAAAGATCCAAATCAGATGATTGCAATAAAAAAATTATTTTGACACCCTGCACTCCAAAATGTCCGTGTCCGTGTCCGTGTCCTCTACCATGTCCTTGTCCCATAACATGTGCTATACCTTGTAGTCCGTGTAATATTCCTAATACAAGTACAAGCCCTTCTCCCACTTCTTCTCCTATCACCACTACTACTTGCGCTGAGGAGTCAACTAAACCCACCACTAACTCTTCTTGCTCTTACCCGGATCTTTGTAAAAAACCTTGCGAATGTTCGTTGGTGAACTGCCAATTTAAAATAACGAAAGCGAAAAAACCCCAGGAAAGGCTCACGATAATGATTTACGATAGAATAAATTCTCCGGCCGAACTTCCAGAGCCCTACGATGCTTTATCCGTTATCAGTGAAATTCTCCAAAGAATACAAAATTGTCCGTGCAAAGCAAACAATCCGTTAACGGAAGAAGATCCGGATTATCCATCAAACGATAACATCGATCAATTGAAAGAAAGTCCAAATCAATCAAATGATCCGAATAAATTAAAAGCTCAAGGATTAAATGGTAATTCTCCTAATCTCGGTAACGAAAATTCCGAAGAAGATGAAACAGATGATAATGGATTAAACGGTCAAAACGATTCAAATTCTCCCGATCAAGACAAGTACCAACCGAAAGAAAAAGCAACTCCTGCTGTCGATCAATTAACCGTTTTCAACAAAGACAAATTCAAACCTGTATTCATTGATCTCCGTAAGGTGAGATTTTTTTATTTATAAGCGAGAAAAAAAAAATTTTTTTAACTAACTAACTTTCTTTTATGATATCCTAATACCCGTTTTAATTTAGCTAGATGATATAATAAAAAGAAGTCAAACGGTGTAATCAATCTCGAGAATCACACGCACCTCCTATCAATTATAAAAATGATGTTTATTCTCAAAACTTGGGTAAAAAAAAAAAAAAAAAAATTTTCTTGAATGATTTTTTTTACACAAAAACCGTACGTTAACAAACAATAATAAAAAAAAATTTTGTTTTTCTTTTTTAGTTTATGACGAAGAACGAAAAGAACTTTGGTTCAAATCGACGATAATAATAATAATGGTGGCCGCCTATTCTCCGTGTGTGCATTTTTTTATTTGAATATTGTGCATAATAGTGTCATTATTCACTTTCTTACGTTACTTTTGTCTTTTATTTTCATTAACAAGTTAGTTTTACTTATAAAAATTAAAATGCATGCTTTTGAACGTGTTGTGAGTGTGTTGTGGGGTATGTTGATCAAAAAATCCGAACCGGAGGATATGAATAAAATTTTTTTAATATCAAAAAAACTTTTCCCCCTTTTTATCAGGTTTGGATGTTACCGGCGGGATAGGGTTAATTTATTTGAGTTTTTTATAATGGGTCCTGGTGGTATATTTTCAAGTCAATCCCTGCATTTTTTTTTTTTTTTTTTGTCTTATACAGTAATAATGTGTTAATAAATATTAAATTTAAAATTTAAAATTTTTTCATTTTTTTTTTTTTTTTCAAAATTTTTTGTTTAGTAATATATTTTATATTTAAGTCACGTGATATATTTATTACCGATCGATTATTAATTATTAAATTAATTCGAAGTAAGGGTTATGGGTGATTTGAAAAAAAAAAATCGATTTTTAATTAATCGAAAATATCGATTCGCAGTTAAATCGAAAACCACGTCGAGTTTTTTTTCTATAATATTTAATATTTAAAAAAAAAAATTTCTATGCCTCGTATTGATAAAGTATTCGAACATCGATAAGACCATTTTTTGTTTTTTTTTCCTCAAGTATAAATCAAAATTGTTGAATGATGATAAGGTTAATTAAATTTACAATTACTCGATATTATTATCACAAAGCCTAAACAAAAATTTTTTTACCCCCTCGTGTTTTTTTTTTTTTTTTTTTTTTTATTTCGAGAAAATAATAATAATAATAATAATAATAATAATAATAATAATAATAATTCTTATCAAATATGATTGATAAATTACTCGGGTCAAATAATTATTATTATTTTGTAGATTTACATTCAATAAATATATATAATAGATTTAAATATAAAATCAAATTAAAAGGATCGCGTTCGTCGTGCGTGCGTCGCGAATTTTCCGCGAATTTTTCCTTTTCTATTATTATTATTATTATTATTAATGTTTAAAAGGTAAAAAAAAAAAAAAAAAATTTTGATTTATTCTATTAGGTAAATGATTGGTTGTTAAAATTATTGGTTCGATGCTTTGGTGGTGGTAGCGGGTAAAATTTTGATTTTTTTTTTTTTTAATACAAAAAAGGTAAAACCTTTCAAACCTTAAAGATTAGTTTTTTAAATCGACGTAATAAACACAAACACGCACACACGCACACAGACACGCACACACGCACGTGTAGAAAATAATTAATGAAGAATAACACACATTTGTTTGTTTTTGTTTATTTGTTTTGTTTTTTGTTATTGTTATTATTATTATTTTAATAAGTTAAAAAAAAAAAAAATTTTTACGAAAAGTAATAAGGCTGTTTAATAACAAAAAAACTATTATTAAATTATTAAAAAACGGAAAAAGTTTTTTTTCTTCTTTTTGTTTTTAAAGTCCGGAAAAACTCGTTTTAGCCACTGGTTATTAAAATATATACATTTAACAGTTAATTCTTATCTGTATTACTGGGTCATCGACATTTTAAAATAAATTTAGTTTGGCATTTCAATAAATAAAATAATTTGATTCGTTTTTTAAAATAATAATAATAATAATAATAATAATAATAATTTAAATAAATGATGTCGAAATGATTTTGTGACCGGTTGAGGTAGACCAAGTTTTTTTTTTTTTTCAAAGGTCGAATATAATTTATTTCAGTTTGTTATCGTTTGTGTCTCGTCAAAGTGTGTGTCTGTGTTTTATTATTATTATTTGTTTTTATTTTTCGTAAAAAAAAAAAAAACAAAGAAAACCAACGGTAAGTTAATAAATAACCCGTGAAAATTATTTTGTGTTTGTTTTTCACATTTTCCGATTGAAAAAAAAATAAAAAGAAAAATTTATTAATTATAATAAATTAAAATTTGACATTTTATTTATTCATTTTTACAGGTTTGGTTTTGTTTGAATCACATACATTGAATAATGCTGCGAAATAATTATAAAAACGATCCAAGCATGAGATTTTTATTATTATTATTATTTTGTTGTTGTTTTATGAGTTTAAATAAATTCGTTTGCGGTGTTAAATACGATGAAGAAGATGGTAAAATTTATTTGAAAAAAATAAATGAGGAAGTTCAAGTGAAAACAACGGAAAGCGTTGTTGCTTCTTGGCGTTACGAATCCAATATCACGGATGAAAATTTACAAAATCAGGTTTGAAAATTATTATTATTATTATTGTTTTTAATATAAAAGATAGGAAAAATTATTATTATTATTGTTGTTGTTGTTGCTGCTGTTTTAGTTGGATGTTTCTGCTAAATTAGCTAATTACACGAAAGAAGTTTGGAAAGAGACAATTAAATACCCGTGGAAAACGTTTAAAGATGAAGATGTTAAAAGACAATTTAAAAAATTTTCCGTTTTGGGTACGGCCATATTATCATCGGATAAATACGAAAAGGTAATTATTAGATAACGTTTTTTTTTCTTATTTCCTGATAATATTTTTCATAATAATAATAATAATGCTAAAAATTTCCGTTTGTAAATTATCAATGTGTGTTACAAAGACATTTTAGTTCGAAATTGAATTTTCATTTGATTATATTAACGTGTGACACACGTGATAAGGTTTAAAGGAGGAAAATTTTTTGTCGGGAAAGCGAGAAAAATTTTAATTTTTTTCGTAAATTCGATGTCGTTACGAAATATCGACCTCCTGGTTTCAGCTTTTTATTTATTATTATTGCTCAAACGTTTTTTTTTTTTTTTTTTTTTTTTTTTTTTGCAAAATTTATTTAAAATATTTAACATTGGCCAATTTTTTAAATTTAAATAACAACGTGTCACCTCGGTTATTAAATTATTATTCATACCCGATAAATTTAAATTAATATTTAAAAAGTTGGCAAATAAAATACATGTCACGTCAACCATTCGACGAGGATAAATTTTTTTTTTTTTTTTTCGGATCGATAAAAACTTGTTTGATTTAAAATTTTCCGCGCCAAAAAAAATTATCGGAGGATATCCGGTTTGAAATTTTAAATTTTCCCGCTTTTTTCCGTCAAAATAAATTTTTTCGACATTTTAAAACGCAATGAATGTATTTGGTTCGTTTACATCTTAATTTAAAACGAACAAATATTTATATTATCAAAAATGGAGTCGATCATTTAAATTAAATACAAATTATTGACCTTAAATCGAACGATTGTTTAGAAAATATTTAAAAGTTCAACCGTTTTATTATCATTATTATTATTATTATTTCGAAACGATTTTTAAAATTTAAATAAACCGCGAAAAGTTAAAAAAAAAAAAAAAAAAATTCCTTTTTGTCATGGTCAATTATAACGATAACGAAAGGAAATTTTTTTTTTATAAAATTATATTTTAAAATGGCCAAACGATAAAAAAAAAAAAAAAAAAAATTCATATTTTATTTAAAATCGTCGTTTGATCGTTACAATCAATCCGGATGTAATATTTGGTTTGCGGGGGAGGGGAGCGGGAGGGGAAGGAAAGGAAAGGGGGGGAAGGGTGAAAATAAAAACATCATTTATAACAATAACCCTTAATTTAGGCGTGACGAGTTTGCGCATTTTTATGACGCCAAAAAACCGATTTTATCATTTTCCGGTTTTTCCCTCCCCCTCACCCCTCCCCCCGGTATTATTTTCTTTAAATTCTAAAAACGTATTTTTATATTTTTATTCTTTTTTTATTTTTGTTTGCAGTATGACAAAATCGTGTCGGAAATGCAAAGCGTTTACGGTAAAGCAAAAGTTTGTAATTATCACAACAGAACAGATTGTTCGTTACAGTTGGAACCAGGTCGGTACCTAATTTCGATTAAAATGTCAATTTATTAATAATAAAAAAAGAAATTAATACGACTAATATTAAATTACAGAACTCACTGAAATTTTCACCGAAAGCAGAGATCCAAACGAACTTAAATACTATTGGGAACAATGGAGAAATGCTGCTGGAAAACCCGTCAGAGATTTATACAAACAATATGTCGCTTTATCAAACGAAGCTGCCGTTTTAAATAGTAAGTAAATATTTTTTTTTTTTTATCTACAATTTATTTATTTATTTAAAAAAAAAAAAATTTTCATAATTTAAATGTTTTTACAGATTTTACAGATACAAGTGAATTTTGGTTGAAAGACTACGAAGCTGATGATTTTAAAGATCAAGTCGAAGTTTTGTGGGAGCAAGTAAAACCTTTGTACCTGCAACTTCATGCCTACGTTCGAAGGCGTCTCAGAGAACAATACGGAGAAGAACACGTTTCGAAAAGAGGACCCATACCTGCACATTTATTAGGTTTGTAATTATTCTGTTCATTTATTTTCCAAATATCAATTGGTAGTATTATCATTATCTTTTATTATTTATTTAAGGTAACATGTGGGCACAATCGTGGGGAAACGTTTACAATTACAGTTTACCCTATCCTGGAAAAGCAAGTATGGACGTGACAGAAAATATGGTTAAACAGGTACGCCTTATTTTTACTTACATTGCATACACAAATGTAATAAATTTAGTATAAGTTTTTTTTTTCTCTTCTTCTTCACTTACAGGGTTACACTCCGTTAAGAATGTTTAAATTAGCCGAAGAATTTTTCACATCGTTAAATTTAAGTCCGATGCCGGAAACATTTTGGAAAAATAGTATTTTGGAAAAACCTGGAGATGGTAGAGATCTTATTTGTCATGCATCCGCGTGGGATTTCTACGATGGAAAGGATTTCAGGTAAATATTCAATAATCAAATTTTCCATCGTTACTAGTTTACTAAATTTATTTATATGTATTTTAGTATAAAGCGAGGAGAAAAACTTTTTTTTTTTTGTTTTAAATATATATATATAAAAAAAAAAGTTTTTTTTTTTTATGATTTAAACAAAATGATTTGTAAATTTGTTATAAAAAAAAAAAAAAAAAAAGAAAATAGGAATTTAAAAAAAAAATTTAATAGAGTTACTAAATTGGAACTAGGATCAAACAATGTACAAGAGTTAATATGGAAGATCTGAATACGGTTCATCACGAAATGGGTCACATCCAATACTTTTTGCAGTATAAAAATCAGCCACTTGTATACAAGGAAGGGACTAACCCAGGTAGAATAACCGTAGGACATATAAAAAAAAAAAAGTTTTGCCGCCATTTTTAAAAAAAAAAAAATTTATTCGAATGAGTTATTATTGTTAAACAAACTCTTCGTTTGTCTTCTTTTTTTTTTTTTTTTTATTCTTAAATTTCAAATCAAATCGCGGCAAAACTTTTTTTTTTTTTTTTTTTTTTTATACAACTTAAGGAAAACGTTTCATAACTAAAATTCTACTCATTACATATTTATGATTAATTTTTTATGAAATGAAAATAAAAGAAAGTAATACATTATAAATTATAAAAATAATTTTTAGTTATGAAACAATTTATTTGGTTTAAATAATATTTTGTTATGTTTATTATTTATGGACGTTTGTTATTGTAGGATTAAGCAGTGCACTCGTGTTACATTTAGGCAACTTGTTACCGTACATCATGAGATGGGACACATTCAATATTATCTCCAATATAAAAATCTGCCTAAGGTTTATAAACGTGGCGCGAATCCAGGTACCCCCGAAATCATCATCGTTATAAACAATTACTTATATATATTTATATAATAACTTTAAATCGAATTATTATTATTATTATTAAGATAAAGAAAAGGAGGGAAAAAATTTTTAGTATGAAAAGTTTAAAATTCGGTTTTTTTTTTTATTCTAATGGTTTGATTATTTATTTGCTTATTGATTTATTAACATGGCGATCGCACTTGTTTACTAAAAATTTAATTAATTTTTTAATTATTTACGCGTCACAAATTAACAAAAAAAAAGTTATTATTATTATTATTATTATTAACTAATCGGTGTAAACTCATAGAGAGGGGAAAAAAAATTATTTTTATTTTTGCGACGTCATCATTTCAAAAAAAATATTCGCGCGCAAAATGAATGAAAATATTTGAATTAAATGCTAATGACACGTTACTCTTTTTAAAAAAATGAATTTTTAATTTCGTACACGACAATTGACAATTAATTACTGATAATGTACTGATAAAAATAATTGATAAGGACTCAACAAATCCAAATTAATTTTATGTATTTCTTCCTCTAAGACAAACGTAAAAAATTCGCGTTTTATATACTCTATGAAAAGTTAATTTTCTGGGGTGAAACGAGATATAATAAAAATTTTTCCTAATTGTCATCACGAGGTTTGCAATGCTTTTGTCTGTCTAAGTGTATTTTCTGTTTTTGGGCTAATAATAATAATATCTCATTCATTTATTTATTTAAAAATTAATTATTATTATTAATATTACATTTTTTTTTTTTTGGAAAACGTTAAAAAAACAAATTTTTTTTTTTAGGATTTCACGAAGCTATCGGTGACGTAATGGCATTATCAGTATCGACTCCAAAACATTTGAAAAAAATTGGTCTTCTCGATTGCACGGATGATGATTACGAATCCGATATAAATCAATTGTACAACATGGCGTTGGATAAAGTTGCATTTTTACCATTTGGATTTTTAATGGATCAATGGCGTTGGAGCGTTTTCGAAGGGAAAACAACCGAATCGAAATATAATTGCAAATGGTGGCAACTCAGGTGATTGAATAGGGATTTTATTAATTTTTCCCGGAAAAGTTTAGAGCTAATGTCGTATTCTTATACTTCCAGAGAAAAATATCAAGGTTTAGCACCATCGGTCTTGAGATCGGAAAAAGATTTCGATCCTGGAGCAAAATATCACACGATCGCAAACGTACCTTACATAAGATATTTCGTAAGTTTTATTATCCAGTTCCAGTTTCATAGATCCCTTTGCATAGCTGCCAAAGAATACGATCCGGAAAATCCGACTTTGAAACCCTTGCACCGATGCGACATCTATCAAAGTCAAGAAGCTGGAAAACTTCTCAAGTAAGTTAAATTTATTATTATTATTATTTAATATTATCGAAAGAGTTTTGTCGAGTGTTTTTTTTTCTTGTTCGTTCGCGACTGATTTCCCCTCACCCTCCCCCCACCGTTCTCCTGATAATAATTGTTTGAAATTTTTTTATTTGCGACCTCATTTCTATTTAAATTTGACACATATCAAAATTTAAAAAAAAAAAAAAAAATTTTTACTTTCTTATTTTTTTTAAACCAAGACGTAAAAGATTTTTCTCTCGCTTTCGCCATTTTATTCACTCAACGTTTTTTTTTTTTTTTTTTATTCGAAATCAATCAAAAAAAAAAAGAATTTAATGTGATGAGTTGTTGTTTCCAAAACCTTTTCTCTCTCTCTCTCTCTCTCTCTCTCTCTCTCTCTCTCTCTCTCTCTCTCTCTCTCTCTTTCTCTCTCTCTCTCTCTCTCTCTCTCTCTCTCTCTCTGTCTCTTTCTCTCTCAAATGTGAGTTTATGGTGTGAAAAATTTACACTTTCCATAACGAGAAAATAAAAAAATAATTTTTATTTATATATAAATTATTTGATTTGAATTTCTCGTTGAAAATTTTTCGTTGCGTGACTTTTCAGTTTTGCCAACTTGTCGTCAAAAATTTAAAACTTGTCGGTATTTTAAACTTTTACACGTTTGACATTTAAAATTTTTAAAAATTTAGAAAACAAATAAATTTTTTAATTTTTCTTTTTTTTTTAAATGAAAACGTTTCGGGTAATATTTAACGTGGCAGCAGTAAATTTATACGTTGTTTAAACACAAACATAATGATCGTTATCAAGTTTTATTCATTAAATGTTTTTAATATACTAAGAGAAAAGTCTGCTTCCACGTTTTATTATTTCTTCTTATTATTCGAAAAAGATTTTCTAAAAAAAATTTATTTTTTTTAAAATAGAAAAATGCTTCAAATGGGTTCGTCGAAACCGTGGCCGGATGCAATGGAAGTATTGACGGGTCAACGTAAAATGGATGCTTCCGCTTTACTCGATTATTTTTCGTCATTGAAAAATTGGCTGGAAAAAGAAAATAAACGAACTGGAGAATTCATCGGTTGGGAAACTGAAGACGATGGTAACGCACACACACACACACACACACACAAAAAGTTAAATACTTTTAAACTTACGCACATGTATTTATATTTTCAGACGAAGACTGTAAATCATTTACATCGCGTGACGTGGCATCAGGAACGTTAAACAAACAGGGTATTCATGTTTGATTTATTTAAATTTTTTTAACAAAAATTTTTTTTTTAAACTTTCTTTTTATTTTTTTATTTTTTCGAACGAATCAAAAAATTTTTTTCATTTTTTTTATTGTTTTTTAATTGTTATTATTATTATTATTACATTTTATGCAAAATTCCTTTTTTTTATTATTATTATTATTATTTTACATAAAAAATTTATTTTTTATTCGTTTCGATCCTTTCTTGATTTGACGAATGAATGAAAAAAAACTACATAGAGTAAATAAACAACAACAAATGATTATTTATTTCTTTAGGAAAAACAGGTTACGAAGACAACGTACCTTATTCGTACGCAGAATTCGTTCATCAATACGATAACGTTTACGATAATAATCCCGAATACACGAACGAAATAAAACCGTCATTTTATTCTTCGGTTATATTTAAAACTAAAAACGACGTGGTACCAGAAAAATTTTTAATATTAGACGATAATCAATTGAAAAAATCAAACGATTTAACGAATGCTATCGCGTCGGAAAATGGTTTGAAAAAAAAAGAATCAACGGAAACGACGATAAACGTTTTACCATTATCGGATTTTTTAATTATACGTAAATCTTTCGACAACGACAACAGCAACAACAACAACAACAACATAAATAGTAATAGTAAGACTAATCGTTTAAATACAAACGTTAATAATAATAACGTTAACGGTAATAAAAAATTAACAGAGGATAAGAAAAAATTTCAAGAAGAAATAGAAAAGCGTAAAAAAGTATTAAATTTACCATTCGAAGTAAGATCGAAATATGACGACATGGAAAAAACGAAAATATTAAATGTTATCATACACGATTTACACAATGTAAAAAAAAATAAACAACAACAATTGAATAAAAATCCTATTGTTGAATTAAGTGAAATAAATTTATTAAATGATAAAATAATACCGAGTATTCGTGTGTTGAACGATAATGATAAGAGTGATAAGACAAACATAAAAAATAATAAAGTTAAAAAATCAATAAATAATTTATCGAAAATGAAAAGGATAATCGGTGAAAACGAGGGGGATAATTTAGCCGGCATATCGTGCGGTTCCCTATTCAAAACGTTAAAATTAAAAGATTCTTCGCCGCAGAAAATATGCAAAACGCAAAACGTCGTTGAAAATAATAATAATAATAATAAGGAAAAGTGTAAAAATGAAAAACCCCTCGGCGAACTCATGTGGAAAGCGGAAGTTGTTAAATCCGGCGCGGAAAAAATGTTGAAAAATTTCAATTTATCCGAATTGGGTTTTCAATGTTCGAAAATAACGAATCCCGAATGGAAAGAAAAATGTTTGGAAATGAATAGAATAATGGCGAGCGATAATAGCAAGAGCGGAGAACAAACGTTTAAACCTTCGCCGCAACAAACGCAAAATAAAATAAAAAGAAAAGGTTCTCGTAGCGTTTTACTATTGAAAACCGTTACGGAACCATCGAAACGTGATACGTGCGATAAAAAAAAAAAAATGTCATTAAACGACGACATAAATATTTTATTCAACGCTTTGTTCATTGATAATTTTTCAATTGAACCCAAGCAAATAGTGAAAAAACAACAACAGGAAAAACCTTTGGAAAAAAATAAAAATGATTTTATTATATTAATTGGTAGATTAAATGGTGGAAATGCTAACGGTAACGGTAATAGCAACAGCAACAGCAACAGAAACAGCTACAACAACATTAAAAAAAATAAAAAACACGTTAAAAAATCATATAAGGAATATCATTACATTCCAGGTAATTCTGTCGTTTATAATTCTGTCGTTTTAACTCCTCCGGCTAAAAATTCAAAACCTGAAAATAATAAAAAAGTTTTATTTAATTTAAACAATGACGGTGACGGTGACGATGACGATGATTATGACGTCAAATATTTCGATGGGAATAAGAAAAAAATTCGCGAGAGTGGTGCCAGATCGAGAACGAATAGTCGTAGTTATAATATTAATAATAATAATAATAATAATAATAAATATAATTTTAATGGAGGATTATTTAAAAGTGTTAAACGAAAAATAAAAAGAATAAATTCAATTGATTATTTTCAATATTCATTGGTAAATTTTTTCGTTGATAATAATAATAATAATACAAAAAAAAAAACGTTTTTTTCAGGTTCAGGTTTTGTATAAAAATTTAGCGGTGTCGTCTTTTACGTGAACGTGGAAGAAGAAATCGTTTAATATATTTTTGTTTTACAGATCAAAAACAACGTGGAAACAATTTGAAAAAAATTTCGTACCGTATTTATTTATTGATTTTTTTTTTACAGGAAAAGTCTTGTTTAACTTATGACGTTTAAATTTTTTTTTCATCGTGACCTTTGACCTGATTACACGAACAAATTTTTTTTCGCGTTATTATTATTGTCTTTCAATAGCGTGATTCTTAGAAATGAATACAAACTATCGATCCATCGATTGATTGATCGATTGTATGACTTATTATTAATTAATTAATTAATTAATTAATAATAATAATAATAATTATTATTATTATTATTATTATTATTATTTTAACTTGGATGATACAGAACTTTGTCCTTAAAAAAAAAAAATTGCAAATCATTTATTATTGATTGATTGATAGGTTATTAATTACTAAATTCAAATTTTTGTACTCTTCTTCCATCTCTCTCTCTCTCGTATCTCTCTTTCTCTCCCTCTCTCCCTCCATCTCTCTCTTTTTCTCTTTCTCTCTCTCATTAAACTTCTGCACCTCTCCTTAAATAAAATTTTTAATTAATACTTTTTATTTTTATTGTTTCCGTACTTACAAACTTTCTTTTTCTCTCTCTCTCTCTCTCTTTTCTTTCATCATTCTTTCGTAATAATAATTTTGATCATTTAAAAAAAAATTAAACAAAACAATGCGACGCCATTTTGTATTCATCGATTCCTATGTAATACGCGTTACGTAACGTATAATTTAATAACAAAAAAAAAAATTTTTTTTCCAGTTCATCTTCATTAAAAAAAAAAACCTGGAGAATATTCGTTGACAAAGGTTCAACACGTTTTTCTTCGTACCATCAGGTCGTCCACAACCGTTTTTTTTTTTTTTTTTAAAATAAAAATGGCCGAAATTCGAAACGAAAATCGATTTGAAAGGTAAGTGGGAAAAAAAAAAATTTTTAATTTTTTCTATTATACTTAATGTCCAAAATGACGATGCAAAATTTTAAAGTCATCAATTAATAATATTGTTGTGCAATATTATCATTATCATTATCATTATTATTATTATTATTATTATTACAATTTTGTTTACGAGAGTGAAAGTGCAAGTAAAAGTTTTTTTCATTTTTTCGCGAGTGATTTTCCGGGTTTTTTTAAAAATTTTATTTCCCCCCCTCTCCCCTCATTTTTCTTGCCACGTCTTTTTTAATTCCACGTTTTTTTTTTTTTTTTTAAATTAACGACGATAGAATAGTGATGACGATGTTCAATCGGAAATGACAATTAAAAAATTTTATAATTTACTTCCGGTTTTGAATTTTCGAATCGAACGAGTAATAAAAATTATAAACAAGTTTTGGGGTTGTAAAACTTTTTAGAAATTTAAAAAAAAAAAAAAAGGGGAAAAGGAAAATATCAAAGGTAAAATGGTTTCCTTTTTTACAAAAATAACAAAATTCCCGCAGGATAATTAAAACCTTAATTAAGTAATTTAAAAATTAATTTAATGACAAGGGATAAAAAAAAATTTCAATAGAAAAAAAAAGAAAAAACAAAATGGAAGACAAACTTTCTCTACGTTTAAGGTTTCTTTTGATTTTTTTTTTTTTTTTTATTGCGCGTGTTGAAATTAGGACTCCAAAAAAAAAAAAAAAAAAATTGTCCAAAAAAAGTTAAATTATAAATTAAATTTGACACCATTAACGGTTATAATAATAATAATAATAATAATAATAATAATAATAATAATAATAATAATAATAATAATAATAGCGTTAATAATAATAATGACGACTAATATGACGACAACGTTAAATTAAGTCTTAACGAATTTTTAACGGTTTTTTTTTTTTTTTTTAAATTTTTTTGGCGCTAAAAAAATTTTCAGTCATTTTGCGTATAAGTAATAAGATGATGCGTTTTGATATCTATGAAAATTTCGTCGTTTTTTAATTTTTGTCTAATGACACGACACGATAATAATAACCTTTTCAAAATTTTTACATCAAATAATACTCAGGTGCGGATGATGAAGGTGGGAGGGGTGATGGAGGAGGAGGAGGAAGGGGATGGGAGGGGCTGGAGGAGGAAAAGGGGAATTTTTCTTAAACACGAGAAAGGAAAAAAAGAAACGACAAAAATTAAAAAAAAAAAAAAAAAAA